TGGGGAATTCTGGGAGTTGAAGTCCACATGTCTTAAAGTTGCCAGGTTTGAGAAGCCCTGGGCTAGATGAAGAAACGCTAACCCTGTCCTTGTAGGGCGATTATCTCTTGGGTGCAATCATTCGGATGCCCACTAGATGTCAGCAAAGGGTTAGAGATTTCTGGGTCCAACTGCTGCCCTCTATCGGTAACTGAGGTTCCTGCAGCCTAGATTTGACAGCCCTAATATTATGGCTTCCCCGGGTAACTGTAAAGCTCGACTGCGTGAGAATTTCATAAAGATGAGATCCGAAAGGGATATATCATGATTAACTTTTCTCCTGCTCTCTGACGTTTCCCGTCATATTAAAACAACAAAGGAACCTTGTCTCACATCCTTTGTGTCATGAACATAGTTGGAAGCTGTTCAGCCTCTGTCTTCGGGCAGTAATCAATCCATAGCTTGTTAGGTGAAGACAGCTGAAAGGAGTAACAGTAAATACACAAACACTCACGCACATTGCTTTTCCTGGAAGCGCCCTCCAGGCATCGCTTTGCATGATCCTGATTTGCTAACCAAAGCAGTCCATCCAGAGATCGCTCCCTTTCTCTCAAAAGACAGAGGCAGGGCGGTGTTGCACAAGGGAACCGGAGTTTGGAGAACTGGTTTTTCTGTGACTCCCGCTTGGATGAGATTTTGGCATCAGCTTCTGTCTTGGTTAACTGTCACTCAAAAGTGGCAAGGGGGAAGTGTTAGAGGGAGAGCGATAAAGAAGTGTGTTGGAGGTGGGATTCGAATTTGCATGTTGAGAAACAAGAAGAAGTGGGTTGATTCCCATTGCAAGCCTTGGAGAAGATCTTGAGGTGTGGAGCAGGACAGGTGGTCCTCAAATACAGGTCTCAGCTGGGGAAGGGCTTACAAAGAAACTTTAAATTAGTCTGGGGAAGAAACAAGGGGTGGGTATCATTGATCGAAACCTCCCCTGAAAAAGATCTTAAGTTGTCTGTCTGAAATCTCCTCCTATTAATTAATTAATTAATTCATTCATTCAATTTGTATGCCGCCCATCTCCCCCAAATTAATTTTTCTGATATTCCCAACTTCAGGAATTATAAGATGAACGGCTTTATCCCGCCACAAATGGAGAAGGCCGATGCTTTGCCTCTGTCATTCATAAAACTCCTTCACTCTAGGCAAAAGTACGATGAATATTCTTATGTGCTGTGTAAGAGTTTAAAAATACAGGAGAAGTATGTTGGTGTTTTGGTGTTCGGCTTTTTTTTTTTGGAATGTGTAGACAGGACCTTGGAGAGGGTGTCCAAACTGGAGTTGATCTTTTTTTTTTATCCATGTTGAAAGAGCGTGCAAAGCAAAGAGGATGGGTTGATGTGGGAAAGTGCAGCTTGGAAATCTGAAGCAATAGAGGGGCTGGCCGATGAACCCTGTTTGGAGTGATAAGTTTATCAAGCCTTGCCTGCTGTCAACGGTCAGAAAGCCTGTTTGGGAGGAGAGGGACCAACTCCCAGGGCAAGATAGGTCAACCTTGGTCTTATCAACCCCAGTCTGAACAAGAGTCCAAAAAAAACCCTCTTTCCACTCCACACGTGCAGCGGGCAGATTGGCAGCGATGCAGAGAGCAAAACCAAAGTGCCAGATCTCTCGGGGACTCTCTTCTCCTTCTCCTTCTCCTTCTCCCTATAATTTTTATTAAGAATTTTGATTATAATAGTAAACTGTAATACAACTCCTTCTCCATCTCCTCCATTTTGTCCTTCCCCTTCCCCTTCCTCCTCTCCTCCTCCTCCTCTTCCTCCTCCTCTTCTTCTTTCCCCTCTTCCACCATCACCATTGCATTCTTCTTCTCCTCTTCCTCCTCCATCACTTTTTTCTTCTCCTCCTCCAGCAACACTGCTTTGTCCTCCTCTGCCTCCTCCTCCGCCTCCTTTCTCTCTATAATTTTTATTAAGAATTTTGATTATAATAGTAAACTGTAATACTACTCCTTCTCCGTCTCCTCCATTTTGTCCTTCTCTTTCCTCTTCCTTCTCTCCTCCTCCTCCTCTTCCTCCTCCTCTTCTTCTTTCTCCTCTTCCACCATCACCACTGCATTCTTCTTCTCTTCTTCCTGCACCATCACTTTTTTCTTCTCCTCCAGCAACACTGCTTTCTCCTCCTCTTCCTCCTCTTCCTCCTCTTCCTTCTCCCCCTCCTGCCCTTCCTCGGTCTCATCTTCCTTCTTTTCCTTCTCCTCCTTTTTTACAAGGTGCTGGAATTAAGCTATAAAGGTTGGGACCACAGGACTTGAAGGAATGCCTTTTCCCATATATTCCTACCATTCTCTAAAACCATTCCCAGAATCCCAGCTCCAGCAGGTATCCTTCCAGGCCAAATGCAACAAAGGGTCTCCCTGGACGGGACTTTTCAGTGGTGGCCCCTGAATTTAGAAATGCCTTTCCTGACATCCACTTTATTATATTCTTGATTTTTTTTTCTCCCTAGCCTTTATAGCTTGCAACCACATAAAGTCACAGACTATATAGTTGCAAACTTCTATAGCTTGTAAGCAGGTTAGAATCTTTTCAGATTGGCGTGGTCCAAACATCTCAAAAATAAATAAATAAATAAGTAATATTGTTGTTTTTATGCACATATCTTGGGTAAGGATTTTTAACTGTGCTGGCCCAGTGCTTTTAATATTTGATTGTACAGTTTAATTAATCCTCTTTTACTGGGCATTTTGATCCTTACTCAAAATACTTATCTTGTGTTTTTCATGTGTTTTCCTGTAAATCATCCTAGGGAATTCCACATCTGAAAAATAGATTACATACGTATCTTCTGAAGGACGCTTAGCAAATGCTGCTAATTTAGAGTGATTTGCAGGGTTATCCGAAATATCACTATAAAATATTTGTAGCTCTGAGCAACGTTGTTTTTGCAAACTAGATGTTGTGAGGTCAAATCCCTTTGCAAACTGTTTGGACAAATCTATTGTTAAAGCTCTTGATGCTGCCATAATTATGGGAATCTTTTTTTTCTGGCTCATTCCTTAATCCGTTTCAATCGTTAAGTCCCAATATGATGATGATCAAACCTAAATGGAATAAAACTAAAGAGGGAAATAGAATAATAGCTAAAGAAAGAAAGAAAAAGAAAAACTTCTTATTTACAATAGATCTTGTTGTTTTGCCCCCAAGAATGCTCTGGGGGTTAACCATCTAATATAAAATATCACAGTTAAAAAGCAGATCAGAAGATGTAATGACAAATGCCTTACTGGCAACTGAATTATTATTTGCTGCTTGCTGGATGGAAATGGGGGGGGGGGGGACAGATTATGTGGAACAGCAGTGGATGATGGACTCAGCCAACTGTACTTGATTGCACAGTTTAATTAAACCTCTTTTATCAAATTCAATGGCATGGGTGGGTCATGCGTGTGGCCCCCAGCATCTTCTGCCCCAGACAGAGGCTCCATGGCAGACCCTGATATAAAAACAGCTTACAAAAAAGGTTTTTTTAAAAACTTTTCCAGATCATTTG